TGTTCTGTTGAATCCTATTTGCCACGAAGAGTTTAGGCTACATATGCCAGATGACTGCGGAGCCAAAAAAGATACCGCCCGAAAGAGCCTGGGTAAAGAAGGTGGTTTTGGAAACTAACTTTGAAGCACAGAGAAGGAAAACGTAGGATTTCTTTTTTTTAAAACAGTATTTTATATTGCTATGCCATTTTCAAGTAGTATCCAAAATTTTTCTGAGTGTTAATTAAATTACTTTTGCCAGCTTGTGGCAGAGTAAATTTTGCAACCTTGGTGTTACTACTGAGAAAATGAAGACGGTTTGGGATGTGACCGGTGCCGTACCCAGGGTGCCAACTCCTCCACTACTGGTCCTTGGTTCTGTTCCATGTGCTGGTTTGCTCCTTTTTCTGTTACAAGGCTTTTTTTTTTTTTTAGGAAAAGAAAGGGTATTTTTGGAGTGAATGGCATATTGCTGTATTTGCTCTTCCATATTATTTAGATACCTATTTCCAGAGAGGTGAATGCAGTGAAACAGGACAGTATTAAATGACCTAGGAAACTCACAATTAGCTGTAACCTCTGTCCTTTAGTTTTTGTTTTTGCAAGCCCCCAATGAGCACAGCTGCAGTACGTATAGTGTCTTTACAAGCAGGTTTTAGGATAGAGAAGATAAATGCAAGCAGCAGTATGTCATAATCACAACAAGGAGGCTGAACCATTAACATGAAATATGGGCTGAAGCAGGGAAGCAGATATATGTTCTCCTCCTTTTATAAGGGTTTCTGAGTCGGTAACATGTTTTACCTTAGCAATTCGTTCCAGTTGCCCTTCATATTGTGAGAGCTTTTTACAATATTCAAACTCTTTGTCTTCTAAAGACAATGTTAACCAGATGATGCAATGTAAATAAATGAAGAACCCCAGTGACAGAATTTATTGGCTGGCACATGCCACAACAACATATTTTTTGTACTATTGCTGTCCAGACGGAAGAGGCTCCTTTGAGAAAAGACATCGTCTTAGACGCTGAGCTAAAGTTATTTATCTGTTGCTGGTTAGAAATGGGGAGGGGGGGGGAAACCCTTTCCTACCCTAGAGCACTAAGGGGGATGCATACAAAGAATAATGATAAAATCAGTCACCGTTATGTAAGTGATGATGAGAATAATGGAAATGTGGCTTGAATAGTCTGTTTAGTGAAAGCTGTGATCTAAGGCGTTTGATGGAAGCAATCACTATTTTAATCTTCACAGTTTGGAAGGGAAAAAGCCAGTGCATCATTTTTAACAGGTTTTTTTTTCTTTTTCTTCCCTGTTTTTTTTCCTTCTGCCTTATGATTCTGCTTAGCTACAAAAAAAAAAAAGTGATCAGAAATGATCTAAGAAAAGTTCGTTTCTGAAGAGGGATGGCGGAGGGTTTTTTCTCCTGGTGTCTCATGTGGGGGAAAAAAAAACAAGCAGGAGATGGGGGGGGTGGGTGGGAAATGACAAACTTGACTTAACCTAAATACATTCTTGACCTCTCATCCAGTTCAGTGAATTGCCTAAATATGTTCTGCT